CTTCACTTAGGATAATGGTCTCCAGTTCCATCCAAGTTGCTGCAAAAGACATTATTTCATTCCTTTTTATGACTGAGTAGTACCCCATGGTATACATATATACATGGTGTACATTTTCTTAATCCACTTGCGAATTGATGGGCACTTAGGTTGATTCCACATCTTTGCAATTGTGAATTGTGCTGTGATAAACATTTGTGTACAAGTGTCTTTTTTATAAAATGACTTCTTTTCCTTTGGGTAGAAACCCAGTAGTGGGATTGCTGGGTTGAATGGTAAATCTGCATCTATTTCTTTGAGGAATCTCTATGCTGTTTTCCATAGAGGTTGTACTAATTTGCAGTCCCACCAACAGTGTATAAGCTTTCCTTTCTCTCTGTATCCTTGCCAGCAGTCACTGTTTTTTGACTTTTAACAATGGGCATTCTGACTGGGGTAAGGTGATATCTCATTGTAGTTTTAGTTTGCATTTCCCTGATGATTAGTGACATTGAGCATATTTTCATGTTTGTTGGCCATTTGTCTATCTTCTTTTGAAAGACTGTGTTCATCTCTTTTGCCCACTTTTTTTTTTTATTTCAGCATATTATGGGGTACAGATGTTTAGGTTACGTGTGTTGCCCTTGGTTCCCCTCCCCCCAAGTCCGTGTTTCAAATATGTCCATCCTTCGGGTAGTGCGCATTGCACTCCTTGCGTATACAAATACCCGTCCCCTCCTCCCTCCTCCCCGCTTCTCCCACCGCCCTCCCCCTTCCCCAGCATCCAATAGATGTTGTCCTTTTATGTGCTTTTATGTGTTGATTAGTTAATACCAATTTGATGGTGAGTACAAATGGGTCCCGTTCTGCTGCTCTTGTGGTGCTCCACTTTGGATAATGGGCTTAAGTTTAATCCAGGAAAGTGTAAGAGGTACTAGATCACTGTCATTTCTTATGATTGAGTAATATTCCATTGTGAACATATACCAAATTTTGATAATCCACTCATGGATTGACGGGCACTTGGGTTGTTTCCACATTCTTGCAATAGCGAATTGTGCTGCCATAAACATTCGGGTGCAGATGTCCTTATCGTAGAATGTTTTGTGCTCTTTTGGGTAGATGCCTAATAGTGCTATTGCTGGATCGAATGGTATTTCTATTTTTAGCTCTCTGAGGTATCTCCAAATTCTTTTCCACAGAGGCTGCACTAACTTACAGTCCCACCAGCAGTGTAGAAAGTGTTCCTGTCTCTCCACATCCTCGCCAACATTTGTTGTTTTGTGTTTTTTTGATAGAGGCCAGTCTCACTGGGGTTAGGTGATACCTCATTGTGGTTTTGATTTGCATTTCTCTAATGATTAGAGATGTTGAGCATTTTTTTATATGTTTGCTGGCCATTATTCTGTCTTCTTTTGAAAAGTTTCTGTTCATTTCGCTTTTGCCCACTTTTTAATGGGGTTGTTTGGTTTTGTTCTTGCTGATTTGTTTGAGCTCTTTGTAGATTCTGGATATTAGCCCTTTATCAGATTTACAGTTTGAGAATATCTTCTCCCGTTCTGTAGGTTGTCTATTTACTCTATTAATTATTTCCTTTGCAGTGCAGAAACTCTTTGATTTAATCGAGTTCCATTTAATTATTTATTTTCATAAATAAAATAAATATTTTAATAAACATTTTAAATATTTAAAATAAAAAAATAAAATAAATAAAATAAAGATAAAATAAATAAAATAAAATAAAAAATATTTTAAATAAATATTATTCATTTATTTTTATTATTATTTTATTTATTTTTATTTTATTTATTTAATTAAATAATTAATTTAAAATTATAAATAATTATAAAATATATATAATTATAAATAAATAAATAATTATAAAATTATTTATATTTATGCACACATAAAATTCAAAGCAAAATGGAATAACTTTAAACCTTGGTGCCAAAATTGAATCACACTCGAGGAAATTCATGTATAAGCAAATCTGACCTTTTTAGTACCAGGCTCCTAGTAACCATTTCTCTCAAGGAACACAATCTTGACTTAAACTGCGTTTTCTTAACAGGTTCAAATTTGTTTTCCACTTTGGGTTTTCCAAGTCTCCTGCTCACCATAATTCTTTCCTAGCTTTTCTCTTGACCATTGAAAGCTCGGGTTTTGATTCAACTTGTCACTCCACCTTCTTTGCAAATATACAGTCAAAAAGTATCATAAGAGGCTTCTTACCCCCTCTGGATCAGAGGACACCAGGGTAGTCCGGGTGAAGTCCAGGGCTCACTGTATATCTATTTAGTACAAGAGGCCTCTGCCTCACGTCTTATTCATCCGACTCTTTGCAAGTTTTTAGCAGGCTCTGTCTGAGATCTCAATTGGGCTCAATTCCCATTGGCCTGATCTTATTAGCACACCTGGGAGTTTCTTAACATCTGTCTTATCTCAGGCTGCTATAATGAAGCGTCATAAACCGATGGCTTATAAACAACGGAAATTTGTTTCTTACACTTCGGGAGGCTGAAAGTTCAAAATCAGGATGCCAGCATGGTTGGGTTCTGGTGAGGGTCCCTTTATAGGCTACAGGTTTCTGATTTTTCCTTGTATCCTCACATGGTGGAAAAAAGTGAGAGCTCTCTGGGGTCCCTTTCATAAGGGAACTGATCCCTTCATGAGGGATCCATCCTCGTGGCCTAATCACCTCCCAAAGGCACCACGTCTTCATACCATCACATTGGCAGTTAGGAGTTCAACAAATGAATCTGGGGAAGACACAAACATTCAGTCAATATAATACTGTATTAGGATTTTCTTTCATTCTTTCCTTTCTTTCTTCTGTTAACATCCATACAGCATAAGATGAAACCAAACTAAAAATAAAGGGAGAAGAAGGAAAAGGGTCAAAACATTCACTGAGAACTTTGGTGAAGCAAAAAGGAGCACAAGTGAACAGGAGCGATGTCACTTCTGATGTCACAGAGGGGGCTGGGAGGCTGAGGCCTCACCTGGACGGGGCCTTCCAGCATCTTTGCTGGTTTTTGTACTGGAGATTCCCGTGGGACTACAAGAAGAGAGGAGACAAATACCATAAAACGACAAAGAGAACTGAGGGGGCTCAGTGGGGGAGACCCTGGCTCTGCATTTGAAGAAACCCTTCCAAATGCCTGATTCTCCATTAAGGGCAACTTGTTGGATGTTTGGATTAGAGGCGGCTTGACTGAAGAATCAGCATAGAGTTAGAAAATTGAAAAAGCAGGACCCAAAATAGGAGGAGGAAACCAGCCTGTTCTCCTGGGCATGGTGGGGGACAAAGAGCCCGAAAGCAGCACATGGATGGGCAGGATGGCATCACAGAGAGCACAGAGCCAGCATGGCGGCCAGGATGGTGATCTGGGACCCACCGAGCTTCAGAGTGTCAAGTCCAGAGGGAAAGGGAGAGCAGCCAGAAGTGAACCTGAAGCAGAAGGTCAAATTCCAAGGTCATGCCCCAAAAAGCAAGCAGAAGAGGCCAGGCAAACTGAAATCTGAGCCAGGAAAGCTTCCCTGAGGCTCTGCCCTTACAGGACACGACAGCCAAGGGCGGGTAAGAAATTGTTGAGGGCTGCATGCTGGTTTGAAAGAACAAATAAGCCTTCACAAGAATGCTTGCGGTCTACTCCTCAGTGCAGCTCTGAGCTTCCTACCGGACAAGCAGATATTTAACACTTACCAGTCCTTCAGAGAGAGATACTGTCTCCCAGCACAAAGCAACTTCTCCCTTGAGACGTCATGTGGGAGATACCACATGACACAATAACACAGTGAACAATGTCCTCAGTTTGAGTTTCTAAGTAATGCAAAGACCATTTACCAAAAGCTGCTGCTTCCAATAACCTCCAATAAAACCCGGAAGGAGGATACCAAGAGAGGTTCAGGGGCAGTCATTCTGCCAGGGATAAGCTAACAGGGATTGGTGGTTCGGTGTGTAGGACTCCAAACCACCAGCATGAACCTTTGAGAAGGGCAGCATTAATTGCAGCCCCTCGGGGACAGGGGTTGGGTAGTAAGTGGCAATGGCATGCTGGGGCGTTCTGACTAATTGCAAAGGCAGCGCAGTATTGATTCAGCCCTGGAGAAGTCCAGCGTCCCTTGTCCAATCAAAGCCCCTGATGGAATCTCCATCCTTCCTTTGGGATGAGAAGGGGAGAGAGAGGGCACAGACCTCTGTCCTTGAGTTTCCTAGGAGGTGAAGAGAAAAGAACTGGAGGAACTAGCTGTGCCTCCAGCTGTGCCCGCTCCCCTCGCTGGACGCGGGGGAAGTGAGGACCTAGCTACGCAGGGAGCAGCCATCTCCGAGGCTTCTCTCTGGAGACTCTCTGGGGACTTGAAGTTTCCTCGAGGAGTTCTTATTGACTGTGTGATGGAACAAGCTAGAGTTAATTGTGCTGTTTCCTTGGAGCAACTGACATTCTTGGTCTCTCACCCCTGTTGAAGGACAGCTTTATACTTTCTCATCACGCTTGGGCTCATAATATTTTCTCTGCAGCCATGCTCTCTCTAAATGTGACGCTGAGATAATTTTACGTAATTATATTTCTGACGCACTGTGTGATTTTGAAAGGTGGGTGCTTGACACATGCAGGCAGTGTCTGCAAATGGCAAACCATGAAAGGAGATGTTAACAAATGTTTAATTTTCCCCTCCTGCGATACTGTCCTACTGCACCACTGGAAAATGAGATGCACTTAAATAGGTGTTGAATACTTTAGAGCTCACCTTTTCCCACTGCCCTCCCCGAAACATAAACCACATTCATCCAACACTCTCACATATTCCCTTCCTGAGTTGGGGGGTGGGGAATCACACAATGGGAAGATCACTTCTGTTCAGAAAGCCCCCAGCCCAAGAGAACGGCTCAGAGGTGGCTATGGCTGGGTCAGCGTGAGCCCGGGAGGGCAGTGGGCAACTCCATGAACTTTCTCACGTCCTTGCCCTCGGACATCGACCACTGCTTGTCTGTAACCCTGTGGTTGTGTGCCCCACAGTCATACAGGAGTGGCAGAAGAGAGGCGGGCAGCCCTGGGAGCTCATTGAACCCGTGGACGGATTCCACCCCAACGAGGTGAGCCCAGTCGTAGGATGCTGTGGAAGGCTGTTTGTTTGTTTTTTCACCATACTTATGCACTCATGTTTATTTTTATCCTGTTTTGTTCCAAAAAGGATTTGAGGTAATGTACAAATGTGTAAGAGAAATTTAATAAAAATGAAGTAAAAATCAGGACAAAAGGAAAATAAGGTAAAAATTATACCTAGATTCCTGACCATTTCTGCAGTTCATAAAAGTGTGCAGGGCAGTACGAAGAAACCACCCGAGGGGGCCTAAGAAATCAGCTGTGTGTTCTCCAGCAGCCCATGCGAAGGGGGCGTAAGTCATAGCCTCCTTAAGATTTAAAAAATAAATAATTAAGTCAAGTACTCCCCCCTAAAAAAGAAAATCACAAGAATTCTCAAAAGTGAGATACATGAGAAATTCCTTCTATGGATCTTTCCAGAAAAGAAGCTGTGAGAGAAGAGGACAATGTCCTTAGCAGTATTCTGCAGCGAGGGCTGTTTCTCATCTTCTCGTCGAGGATTCCAGAGCACAATTCTGCAAAGCGGCTCTCCTCTGCCCTTCACACCACCCCGGGAGCTGGAGGGTAGAACTCTCTCCCTCCCGTCTCCACCCCATCCCATTGTCCTGGCTTCAACCAAAGAAGCTCCACTTTTATCTGTTGTGTATACTGGACTTGCTCTGACATTTCTTTGTTAAAAAGAAGAAGAAGAAAGAAATGGGGGAGTAGTTCTGCCACTTTCAAAACTTGGAAAGCTGGCCCTTCCTCTGCAGGGAGGCTGGGCCGCTTGCTCTCAGGCAGTCCTGCCCCAGCCTGTGGCGAGTGTGCTGTGGCCATGACAAGGCTGCAAACATGAGAAGCACTCCAGGCGGTGCTGCCTGGTGGCCTGGGTCTCAGTGGTCAGCCGGGCAACAAGGAGGGCTGGTCGGCCCCTCAGGAGCCTGAATGGAAGCACAGCCCACCTTCCCCTGAGCTCTGGGCTCAGCGACTGCCCATGGGCAGGGTTAAGAATCTCCTCAGGCCGGGCGCGGTGGCTCACGCCTGTAATCCTAGCTCTCTGGGAGGCCAAGGCGGGCGGATTATTTGAGCTCAGGAGGTCGAAACCAGCCTGAGCAAGAGCGAGACCCCGTCTCTACTAAAAATAGAAAGAAATTAATTGGACAACTAAAAATATATAGAAAAAAAAATTAGCCGGGCATGGTGGCACATGCCTGTAGTCCCAGCTACTCGGGAGGCTGAGGCAGGAGGATCGCCTGAGCCCAGGAGTTTGAGGTTGCTGTGAGCTAGGCTGATGCCACGGCACTCTAGCCCGGACAACAGAGTGAGACTCTGTCTCAAATAAATAAATAAATAAATGCCCACTTCACTGGTTTAAATAGCCACAAAAAAAAATCTGAGTAAAGCACCTCAGAATATCTAATTCTCCTGTGTATCAATTGGATGAGCTGATCTAAGAGAATTACTAGTTAGAAGCTGGTTGAACATCAGGGTCTGGCCCTTCAAAAAATGATGTCTTTGGTTTAGAACAGTTAATGTGCAGCCCTTGTTTCTGGAAATAATTAGGTATGTGTCTTGTCCATCCCTGCACATAGCGGAATTTTGTCTTTCTGACTCTGGAGAGAATGGGGGTACTGAAAAGATGGTCAGGTAAGGTGTCAATCAGGAACAAACGAACAAGAGGATCAAAGATGACTTTGCTGTACTACTCAGGACATATTTGATCTATCAAATGACCGTCTTGTCCCTAACTCAAAATAATACTAGGGTTCAAGGTCTGTCAAATTGGAGACTTATCTTGTACTCAAACAACTTCACCTATATATGGTTATTGAAAACCAAGTCAAAAGCTGAAGACCAACATGTGCCATAATCTTATGCTAATCCTGCAAGATTTGCTCACACACTGGTAGTAGGTGATAAAGTGGGCAATGGTAGGTACCCGTGGCTTCAACCAGAAAAGCTCCACTTTTATCTTTTGTGTGTACTGGACTTATTCATGACATTTCTTTATTAAAAAGAAGAAGAAGAAAGAAGTGGGGGAGTAGCTGGTCACAGACCAACAGACGGATGCTCATCACAATTCCAAATCATGAAGCAATTACATAAAGCATCATGCTAGACATGCAAGATGCTAACTTAGTGAATTCAGAAACCACCTCTGGCTTTACTGTGTTATGAATTGGATATGTTTATATGCAACTTAAGAAAGTGGACTCTGTAAGATGTTCAACTGCAAAGGAAGAAACCTGGAAGGACCTAACTCTGTTAACCGAAAGATTCCAATTAACCAGAATACCCCATTCCCAAGCATTCTTCTGGACTGGACTAGATTCCACTCCATGTGCTGCTGATGTTGTGCGCACTGGCAGGAGGAGGGTGTCTCCATCCCTTGTCCAGAGGACAAATGTTGGGCAGGAGGATGTATGACTAAAGTTTCCACTGGTAAAATGAATTAGCTTGCACCCATCTGATGGCACACCATGCATCAAACAAAAACGATGATACGGATCCACCTTTAGTGACAGAGAAATATGTTTGTAATATAGAGGAAAGTAAATAAGAGCAGACTGCAGATTGTGGGGGTGATGACACAACTGTATGCATTTGTTAACACCCATAAAACTGTTTACCAAAGAGAGTTAATTTGACTGTGTGTAAATTAGACCTCAAGAAGGGCAGACCATAAAATGACATTCACAGAGGGATCCAATTTGCACGTGTGTGTGTGTGTGTGAGTGTATTCAGATGTGAAATCAGAAAGGCTCCACACCAATGTCAAGAGAGGCTACCTCTATTATAATTACAGATAACAGTTATTCTGATTTTCTCTTTTTGCTTAATTGTCTTTTTCAATTTTTCTAGAATAAATAACTTCTGCTTTAATATATTTAACTATGAGTAGAGAAGCACAAAAGAATATCTGTGTTCAAAAATCAACTAATTTGGAATAAAGAGAGTACAGGATAGCTGTGCCTTGCCCATAGGAGAGTCACAACAGGAGAATGTTGTACAAGCCCACAGTAGGTGCTCAGTAAATATTTGTTGAATGAATGAATGATTATAGTGGATCATTTTACCACAAGTCTCTCGTTTAGTGATAACCATGCCTCTCTCATTTCAGACCCAATATTTTAGCAATGCCCACTCATAAAGATTTTAATCTCTATCAGACCGACAGCCAACTAATTGCTTTCAAACCAAACAGTTACCACTGCCTCCTGCTCAAATCTGAGCTCTTTCATTTTCACTGTCCTCTTCTTACCTCATGCCTGTCTCCTCCCTTATTAACACAGATAGGGCAATAAATGCCTGGGTACTGCATAGTCGTTAGAAAGACAGCTTAGGTGTATCAAGTCGAAAGCCAATAAAACAAAAAAGAAGAACCAGTAATTTTCCACAGACCTAGCGGCAGCCTCCTTTGCTGAGAAATGGCAGGAAAAACAGCCTCTATCTTAAAAGACACTGATTGCTTTGTGTGAGAGATATTCCTACCCTTCCCGGAAAACTGACCAGTTTGACAGGCAGCCTCTGACTTGACCCTGGTTTTAAGTGCAAAGAAGTGTTTGTGTGGTGCGTGTGTGGTATGTCTGTGTGAGGGGTGTGGTGTGTGGTATATGTGAGGGGGGTGTATTTGTGTGTCTGTATGTGTGTGTGTGTGTGTGTGTGTGTGTGTGTGGGTGAGACACTGCATGGATATGACCGAGATTACATAGTCAGAGGATGAAATCGGTCATATACCTCAGAAGGCTCAGGAACACATTAAAATACTAGGGATATTTAAGGCATTGATTCTATCAGTTCTAGTTTGTTCTAACTAAGAAAATCTTGCACGCAGTGCAGATCCATAAAGGACCTTAGGTCATTTGCTTCAGATCATTCTTGTGCAAATGAGAGAGCTGGGCCCAGAGAGTGGACCAGGGCCACCCAGTGTCACACAGGGAGTTAGCCAAACTGCCTAGTAGAATGGGGACCTGTGAACTGCCCTTTGGAGACAATGTCCCTGTGCTTTTGAATAAAGCCAGGGACATCCCTGAGCATCCTCCCTGAACAATGGATTCCCCTCTGAAGCCTTCAGCCATCACATTTCTCCTATTGTTCAGCATTGAAAACCTCGGTTGAGACACAGCCATCTGGGTCTGGATGGCCTGGCCAGGCCCCATTTGCTAAATGAGGGCATTATCTGCAGAGAAAGAGCCTCCTCGTCAAAGGCATGTTCATGATAAGCCAGAGGATTGGACAACCAGGAACGGGTCCCGCTAACATCACGGACGAAGGGAAACCTGATGCGCAGCGGTGGAACCAGAGCCAGCATGAGCCCCGGAGAGCCAGACGTGAGCCTGCTGTGCGGTGAGCGGGTCACTCCTCCTGGCGCTCCAGCCCGACTCTCCACACTCACCGTCTCCTCCGAGTCCCGCCCCAGCAGGTGGCCCGGCCAGGCTCGTCTCCCAGGCACCCATAGTTCCTCGGCCATGCCATTCTGTCACCCCCATGCCTTTGTGCCTGCTGTGTCCTCCGCCACGCACGCTGTTTCCCCACATCACTCGGCTGGCGAACTCCTCCTTGAAAATCCAGCTCAGCGTCACCTTCTCTGGAGAGGACCTGCCCCTTCCTTCGCCCGGCAGAGTTGGCAGCTCTTCCCTTTCCAGCGTGTGTGCCCTCCTCACAGCCCTCCCTATGGGCCCACTGGTGTCGTCTCGCATGTCTGGGTCCCTCCCTAGGCTGGGAGTTCCTGGAAGGAAGGACTTAGCAAGTTCATGTCCAAACCCAAGCCTCAGGCTGGCAGTAGAGTTGGCTGTCCACAGATAAGTGGATGAGAGGATTTATGAGAAAGTGTATTTGTTTTCTATAACTAAATGACAAGTTACCACAAATATAGTGGCTTAAAATAATACACATTTATTATTAAATATCTCACAGTTTCTGTGGGTCACAGATTAATTGGGTCCCCTGCTTAGGGTCTCACAAAGCTAAAATCAAGGTGTGCCGGCCGAGCCACATCCTCATCTGGAGAGTCACCGGGAAGCACTGTCCTCAAACCCAACTCGGGCAGATCCATTCTCACCAGGTGGTGGGACTGAGGACCCAGACTCTCGCTGGGTGTCAGCTGGAGGTCACCTCAGCATCTGGCCATGTGGGCCCCTAACACGGCGTCTTCCTTCACCACCCAGCCACGAGTCTGCAGAGCGACTCTGCCACCAAAGCAGAGCCTTAGGTAACGTGACATAAACACTGAAGTGACATCCTGTCACCGCTGCGACATTCCATCGGTTAGAAGCAAGGGATAGGCCCCAACCCGGGCAGGGGAAGAGGATTGTAGGGAAACATGAGGGTAGGAACCACAGGACCATCCTAGAGGCTGCGCCCCACAGAGAGAATAGAGTAAATCTTGCTGGAAAATTATTTATTATAATTTCCCTTTCCTCCTCTTTCGGGTTCTTTTTTGCAGGCAGCTTTGCGGCTGTTGGCAGATCGCTTCTGGAAGAAGGTGCAGCTCCAATGGCCCCAGGTCCTGGGAAAGGAGAATCAGTTCAACCCCCAGATTGAGCAGGTGTTTGGAGACCAAGGCGGGCACTGAGCCTCCCGGGAACACGCCCCTCTGGGGTTGGGTACCAGGAGGCGGGAGCTCGGTAAACTCATTCAACACGCCACTGCGGAGGCGGCTTCGTTTGAGGCCCAAAGGCCCCTCTTTCAGCAGCATCTCTGCGAAATGCTTTTCTCTCAGTTAAGAGTGTATCTGAGTGACAGTGTGATGCTGTGTGCTTCTGGGGTCGGTAACCCTCCAACTGTTCCTGAAATAACCTTTAATAAAGCACGTTGGGTGCCAGTCCTAGCAAGAGAGTATTTGTGCCCTTTAACAGCTAATTGTTCTAAAAAGGGCTTCTAAAAACACACAAGAAATCCAGCAATGTTTGGCAATTTGCCCGGGGTCTTGGCATGCCAGGGAGCTGATCCTCCCTCCGTTGCTGACTTTTCAGGATGGCCAGGCGAGCCCGCGCTCCTCCCGGAAGGCAGCTGCCAGCTGCCAAGGACTGGCACAGGCTTCGTGGGGCCCCTCTAAAAACAGAACGCAAAACTGTAAATACGAAACGTGAATACTTATTTAGAGCGAGAAAAGAAATCACAACAAATCACAAATATTTAAAAGTTGACAACTACCATAAGCACCACAAAGTCCAGAAAAATGACAATTTTTTTCCTTGGAAAGATTTCCTTGCCTTCTTTAGCTGTATCACCTGATCACCTCTTTCTTAAAACAATGATTTTGTGATATCATTGTCTATAGAAGGAATAGAAAAGTAAAATTTGTTTCTTATTATTGATAGTTTAGAAGTTTCTTTCTACTACACAACTTCTTATTGGTAAAGTGGTATAAATATATAGGATTGCTGTCAAATTGGGAAGACCTCTATCACATTCCTTTAGGGTGAGAGCTATTAAAGACCCACCGTCTATTTGCAGTACTGGTAGAGGTTTGTATCCATATAAGCACGGGAATCCTGATCAATTCTATTGCTCTCATCCATGTGTCATGTCCCTCGCCCACCTCTGAGCACAGCCACGGACTCGGTGGTCTGTCCCCAGGCCACCCGTGCTGCCAGCATCCCCCCTCAGGCAGGCACATCTTTCTGCATTCTGCCCTCAGGATCTCTCTTGGCACAGCCCAGAGGTGTGGGACAGTTAACACCCCAGGGGGAGCTCAGGGCCAGTGAATGAAGGCACCAGCCTCCTCCATGAGTGGTCAGTTGGGGAGGCCTTCTGTGTGCTTCTTGGGGTCCCAGCAGAATCAGTCCCCTCTGCTCCCAGCAGTGACCACCTTAGCACAGCGTTATGCCAACATTACCTTCTCCCCATCTCACTTTCCATGATCCCTCATTCCTGCTTCCCAAATAAACCACCTGCACCCAAATTTTTGTCTCAATAAAGACAAAGTTAGGATGACAGTGTGGGTATAATTGTACATGGCTTAGCATTGAATATATTCCTGATGGTGAAATACTCCTGTTTTGACCGGACACCAGTGCCAACCACATTCCCTGCTCACTGTGCACATCTGGCGATTGGAAGCTGTTGCCATCACCACGGACTGGCGTCTGGCCCTGTGCACCTCACACCTTGTTTCTCCCCCGCCACCCACGTGCTTTCATACTGTGATGTGACCGCTGGCCCTCCACCTTAGTCGCGATGCTGGCGGACAATAGGAGTGTGCCTGGAAGCCTTCCTTTTTTTTTTTTTTATTTCAGCATATTATAGGGGTACAGATGTTTAGGTTACGTATGTTGCCCTTGCCCCCCCTCCCCCGTAAGTCCGAGTTTCAAATATGCCATCCTTCAGGTCGTGCATATTGCACTCTTTGTGTATGCATAGACCCGTCCCCTCCTCCCTCCTCTCTCCTCCCCCCCCCGCCCAACATCCAATAGATGTTATTCTTATATGTGCACTTGTGTGTTGATCAGTTAATACCAATTCGATGGTGAATACATGTGGTGCTTGTCTTTCCATTCTTGGGATACCTCACTTAGTAGAATGCGTTCCAGCTCTATCCAGGAGTATACAAGAGGTGCTATATCACCATTGTTTCTTAAAGCTGAATAGTACTCCATGGTGTCTAGCAATAACCTGACTGTGCACAGAAATGGCTGCAAACCACATAAATACCAACCAGCCCAGACGGATCTCCATTTCAACTCGCCCTTAGCTGAAACTGAGGGGGATCCCAAAAACTCCTGTGGCTACTCCAGAGCCATTATATATATATATATACACACACACACATATAAAGTGTGATAGAGAGGGAGCAATTGTGTTTAAAACATCTTAATTTTGTAAATTTTACAAAGCACATGACCACGCGAGCACATTTCTGGGGCCCCTTTCGGGGCTTTGGAAGGGACCCTAAAACTCCAGCTTTATTAGACTTGTGGTAAATCCACCTCCGCTCACAAGATTAATCTGCCAGGTTGTGTGTGAGCTCTAGTTCTGGGGGCCAAAACACTTAAAATGTTGTCAATCTATTCATTTCTGTCACATGGACGGGACTCTTGGTGCAGGCTACCCAGCACTGGCCCTGGTGGCAGAGCAGCACTGCGCCAACACACTGTCGGGAGGCTGCCTGTTTCATGCAAGAAGTAAACAGGAGGAGGTTAAAAGGAGGATGAACTGGAGAGTGTGAGGTTTCGAGGCAGTGGGCTGTGGAAACTTGGTATATCCGTCTCCTCCCGAGGGATGCATCTGCTCATAGGATCTCGGTAAGCACATTACTGGGTTTGGTGTTTCAACATCTCATATTATTTTTAAGCACCAAAATACCAATACTTGTTACAGTACTGTTTTATTGTTGGTATTTAATCTGAAATCTTAATCATTCAGTCTCAAGATATACCCAGAGAGTGCTGCACTAAAATTGGGTCCTTTCCTTTAGAAAGAATTCTAGCCAATCCCTCCCCTATTTAGAATGCTTCCACGGTACCTTATTGCTATCCTATTAATAATTCCTGTTTCCCAGAATGCAGGTGAAGTTGATAACCTTGTATTGCTTTTGCTGTCGGGGGAATAGAGAACTCATTTCAGGCCTTGATCTTCTCCCAGAAGGCCCTGAAGGACTGGAGTTATTTTAAAAGTTGGGAAAAACCAGAGAGGGTGAGTAGGGAGATTCTGAGAGTACAAGGAGAGGGTCCCCACACCTGACCGTCTCCTGTCTCTCACCCCGGATGTCATCTCTGTCTCTGCCACTTCCCACTCCTCCAAAAAAAACAGTTTAAATTCTGTTAGGGACTGATCACCCACCCAACTTTGGGGAATAATCTAAGTAGTTCCATTTTCCGAGCAGGCTCAGGAAGGAGGACAGAGGTGCCTAAGTCCTGAGCCCTGACCCTACTCGGGCATAACACCAAGGAACCGGTGGGGGGTGGAAGAGGAGGGTGACATCATCTCAATTTTTTAGAAAACACCAATACTGAAAATAAATACTAACTGTAAATCAGTGCTAAATACCACTATCACCTGCCCAAGAACCAGAGTCTGAGGCCAGGCCCTCTCCCCTGGTCAGGGCCTCCTGAGTGAGGCTCGTCCACATCTATCTGCATTTTCTATGCTCCAGATCAATCCCGACATGTCCCTTCTTTGAGATTCAACCACGTCTTTCTCCCTGGCTTAGGAATGTTCTGTCCCTGTAGGTGCTTTGTGTACTTCTTATAACTTCTGGGTGTCCAGGATTTACAGGATAGCTGGGGTGGGACAGCTACTATCCCCTTTTCAGCACTGGTGGCCCTCGAGCTGTGGCTTCAGTCTTGAGTTTTCCAGATGATAGTGTGTGAGGTTTGTCCTCTGAGAGGCACCTGAAGGGCTTTTCTGGAGGGGCCCTGGCAAGGAGCACCAGACCCCGAACCAAGGCTCCACAAGATGGGAACCTGGCTGGTCACGTTCACTTCGACCATCTGTAGCCCCTAACACAACGCCTGGCCCACTATACGTGCTCAAGAAGCAGTATTGAATGAATGAATGAATGAATGAATGAATGAGAAGTTAGTGTTGCTCTCCAGGTCACACATTGTTGTTTTTTGCTATTTCAAAATCCAAAAAAGTGGCTCTTTTTTGACACATTTGGAATTAGGGCCATTGAATCGTGCTCTTTATGGCAAGAAGGATAAGAAAGAAAAGCAATCAGTGGAGAGGCTGCCTTCCTCTCTGGGCACCTTGGTCTTGGGGTTTCTCAGCAATCTTCATCTAAATACCCCAAAATTCTGTTCTAATTTGTCTATTCTCAGAGCAAAGGCCTGTCTTGCCCTTCATGATTGAAATGGAACTCACCGTTTTCCACATGAACAATTACGAAGAATCTTTATTTCCACCCATCCTCAGTGTTTTTTATTCGGTACAAAGACTTTTGGACTCATGCCTTGGTGAAAAAAAGTTCAGGCCCCCCAGCAAAAGCAGATCAGATAAAAATCTTTATATGACACTTGTATTGATATACAACAAAACAGCACCTGAAATTCCGGGAATCTGCACCAGCTTCTCCATCCCCCCCCGACTAATTTAACCCCACTAGAGAAGGTATTTTTAACTGGGGTCCATTGGGACCTACAGAATTAAGAGTGCCTATAAACTGGAATGGGGAAAAAATTAAATCTTCACTATCATCTAAAATTTAGCATTTCCTTCCACCATGAATGTAGACAGCAAAACATGGGTGAATTAGTAATTGTCTTTGTCACAAATATTTTCACACCACAATTACAGTTGTTGCAGATACAGTCGATTCTTGTTATTCATGGAAGTTATGTTCTATAATGTTGTCGTGAACACTGAATTAGCCAATACGGGACTGTTTTCATTAGGAGAAATACAAGGTTAGGTTCCTTTGAGCTTCTGGTCACAATATTTTCACTAACTAATCAATACATGACCTTGTTTTGTTTAAAAACACCTTATTTAACATATGGGGGTTCATTAACACTGAACTCATAGGCAACAGCACTATAGCTCATGCCCAAACAAACTCACCTAACGCACATATTTTCGTATTTTCTCTATGTAGCCCATCCTAGGCTTCTTGCTCTTAGAAACACTAGACAGCACCCTGAGTAGCCATTTTAAATAGCAAAATCACCAGGAAAAAGTATAAAAATGCCACAAATGTAACACGAAATATACGGTGAAGAGGACACTTGTGTATGTTACGGGAGCTAAAACAAGAGGCAAAGCATCGCCTTGTCTGACAGACCTCAGCCGGGAACGTGCAAGTTGGACAGCTCAAACCTGCCACTGCTCTGAGCATGCGCACAAATGACTGTAAAAACACCACGGGTATTGATTTTGA